GCAGAACCAGCATTATAGAGAGTAGCTATATTTTGGGGGAAATTTTTTGTATGTGTTGATTCATTAGGACAACTTTTTTTTTGTGTCATGCATACATTATTTGTCCCATTCCTTATCCTCATTCTTTCTAGGGACAGCTTTTTCTTTACTGAAAACACATTCATTCCATTTTCCAAAATGAAAGGTGTGTCCCTACCTAGAGGACCCAACTTATTCTATTCTCTGAAGTAGATAGGGTTACTAGCAAACACCAGTTTAATAATGTTAGGGAGGTTAATGATGATGTTTTTTAAAGAGAAGACATGGCATTTGAAGTGAATTAAAAGAGGAAACAAAAATTTCTTACCTATTACTGTAAGTTTTGTGCCACTGCCAAAACGCATATCAGCACTGTTCACAGTGACAAAGTGATGTATCATAAGCTAAGAGAAGAGATGCACTGCAGCTGCCTTTCTATAAGCACAACCTTTAGAAACTGTTACCGGTTTTGGAATCCCAAACATCACCCATTCTTTATTTGAGCTGCTTCACCTTTGGCCACAAACTGAAACAAATCCCTTTGTTTTCCCTTCCATGGCAGGCCAGCTGTTTTGAATAGTCTTTCAGGATGCCCTTCAGTTTTCTGATAGGTTAAAATAATCCACACAAGGAGAGCCCAGAAGAATCTGTTGACTGGTCCCAGACAAACCTTCGTAGCCATTAGGAAGAACTGCAGTGAGACAGTGGGGATAGGGATTACAGGGCAACCTTTGCTCTCACAGGCATGAGGCAGTCAGCAGATATTGGAGGATTATTTAAGAGAGAAAAGCACAACACATTTTATGTAGTGCCTCTGAGAGATACTTCTACATGTCACAATTCTTTCTCTAACACTTGTATCACTTTAAGAAAAAAACATTTTGTCATTTGTTGCAACCATTGGTGAATGTGGAAACAAGAGTAATTCCAGTTTTGCATGGTTGATAGGCTTCAGGTGCATCTGCAGTCACAGTTTGGTTTGGTGAAAATGAATTTCAATACCTCAGAATTTCCTAGCTTGCATGCCACGGAGGGCAGCCTCAGTTCTCAGATGATGAAAGTAAGTCCCAGCATAGAAGGTCTGTTAAGAGAAACCAAGGCAGAGCATGCCTGGTCTGCTGCAGGATTCTGTGCAGCTGCCTTCACACGCTCTGCCGCAAGGCTCATGCACACATGGGTTTTTGTAAAGGCTTCCTGGGGAATGTATCATCGTGGCCCCCCCCCGCTGTGCCACAATGATATAACCAGGTACAAAAACAATCCCATCCATGACTCCACCCCCTGTTTTTGTCAACCAGGAATGACTGTCATGATTACCTGTGCTGGTTTGGACTGCTGTACAGTTGGACTATAGTTCAAGTTAATTTCCTTGAAAGAGGCTACAGTGGGGTTGTGTTTGCGCTTGTTCTGCAAATAGTGTCAACAAGAGAGAAGTGTTTTTGTTATTGCTGAACAGTGCTTACATAGCATTCAAGGACTTTTCGTCTTCTCATACCCTCATGCTGACAAGAAGGCTGGTGGTGCATGGGAACTTGGGAGGAGGAACAGCAGGGAGAGCTGATCCCAACTGATCCAAGGAATATTCCATATCCCATGGTGACACATTCACTATGTGAAAGAGGCAAGTAGTGGGAAGAAGAAGAATGAGAGAGATATTTGGAGAGATGATGTTTGTCTTCCCAAGCACCATTAGGTGTGATGGGGCCCTGCCTTCCTGGCCCTGCCCATGGGAAGAGGGGAATGAATGCCTTGTTGTCATTTGCTCGTGTGCATAGTTTTTGCTTTACCTCTTAGACTGTCTTTATCTCAAGCCACGAGTGTTTCACTTGTGCTCTTCCGATTCTCTCTCCAGTCCTGCTGGTAGGGAGTGAGTGAGCAGCTGCGCGGGGCTTGATCCTGGCTGGGGCTAAACCATGACACAACCACAGACCACATCCTTCCTTTGCCATTGCTGTTCCTCTGTGATAGTCCAATCACCTCTCAGTGAATTCATTATTGCCCAATTTATAATCTCAAGATTTTTTTCTTATACATAAAATGGAAACACTTTTTATTCTTTTATTGGTTGGCTTTAAATGCAGTAATTTTTCACTTGGTAATGTCATGGCCATGTTCATGCTGCTTTCCTTTCTACTCTTTCTCTCTTCAGCTCCAGGATGACAAGCAAACCTCCAGCTCACAGTTTGCAATTTTTGGTTTGCAATGAGAGTCATTTGCTTACTACAGGCTGGTGTTTGTAGCTTGGTGTTGCTTGAGAGCATCCTCCCAGGGCTGGGACTCTGCCTATGAAAAGGCTTCATCTAGGAGTAAGAGCAAGCCTTCCTTTTGAAGACTGTCTGAAGGGATAGGAACTGTTGGGGACAATTAAAAGGCTACATTTATCTCCCTCCTTTATATGTAAGTGACACAGTCTTGTCTCAGAAAGTTTCAACATCTAATTAGCAACCTAACCTAAACATGTTTTTTATATTGCTCTTGAACAGCTTCATTTGAATCTTTCTTGATATGAAAAATAGACTACAAAGCACAGAACAAAATGCTTCAGAACAAAGTCATTCTACTAGGAAAACCACAACATATTTTCTCGATTATTTTCAGGTATCCCAGTTCTTCTGCATCCAAACTTAAAGTATTGCTCCTCTACTTTAGACTGCATTTTCCTACGTCTGTGCAGGAAACATTTATACATGAAATGTATGACAGCGTTCCTCATTTAGTCCTGTGTGAGCTTCCACTGAACTACCAATGGTTTTACTTGTGGTGTGAGAAAATAATGAGATGTAAAGTGGATGAAAGATCTCCAGAAAGTCTCTCCACATTTACTAATTCCTGGGTTTATAGTTTATGAAGTACAGAAAAGGTCACAACAAACACAGTTTTACAGAGACACACTCTCCTTCCTTTTGCTTCTCATCCACTACAGCTTAGATTCTTTTGGCTCTCTCTCAATTGTATTCACTTACCCTGTCTCTGAGTTATGTGTTTATTTATTTACATCCTTGGTTTGCTTTTCTTACTCTTGATTTTCTTACTTTTCCTAATTTTCCTTTTTACTCCTTTCTTTAAACAGTCCATGCAAGTTTATCATGCCACATCTATTGTCCAGTGCACCTGGTATTCTCTCCTTCTTTTTGCCTAAAATTCTCCTCTTCATTCTCACTAGCTGGTTCTCGAAAATTGTGAGAGGCACAGTGTAATTGTAGAGAAGTGGACTTACATAAATATCACCCTGAAGACATCACTTTCTCCAAAGTGGTCTCCTGTGTGGCTAGAAGTAGTGATAATAAATGGGTGCAGAGCAGAATTCAGCTTCTCTCCTTGGACCTAAGCACAAACCCCATCACAAATATCCTCTGTACAAAACACTCTTGAAAATGAGCTTGAGGGACAAAAGCTTTCCTTTAAACACACTTCAATTCAGAAGAAAGAATAAAAAAAAGGAGATATTATATGAGCCCAGATATGTATGTGTCTCTCTTTTAAAGCGCTCTCTCTGCACAATCACCTGTATAATAGCAGAAGTGTGTGGGAATGAGAATTACATGGCTTGTAGCAAGCTTGGAAAAGAACAGGATTGGCTTGCTGACCTTGGTCTCCATTTCCAGCGACTGACAGATAGGAATTCAGTGTGGGAACATTCTTCTTATTCCAGAGTCTAAAGGGAAGTCTCTGTCATTTGACAAATTCTTTTCTTACATAGAACCATTCAGTTATGCCCCGCCTTCACACCATAGCTTGTCTGCTCCAAAATTCCTATGCTCAAGTTTGTCCTCTGTTCACTTTGACCAAGTTCTGCCATGACCACTCTGAAAGTCGGTGTGTATGAGGACAAGATTGATCTGGGGGAGCTTCTGACAGCCCTGATAAATGCAGCCATTTTCACCAAATGCCCTAATAAATTATATTCATCTTAGTGTGTTTCAGGCTGAGCTGGAATTACTTTTTAATACTCCATTCTGCTGTGCTCCAATCTATTCTAACTTCATAGGGCATGAATAATGGGCTATCTTGGGAAAAGAACCCACCATCAGAATCAAAAGATGTCTCTGTTTGTTTATCTTTGTTTTACCCCCTGAAATGTGCCTCTTTGTAGAACCTTCTCACAATTCCCACTTGCTGAGAACTGTTCCTTTCCTTTCTTCTCCAAAGAGGAAAGGGGACACATTTCTCTAGACCAGGTAGTTCACATCTTGTGAATGTAAGACCCCTTGGAGAATTTTGGTGAAAACTATTTTTCAGGAAACAGTTCTCTGTTTTGTTGGAAGCAGCCACAAGACTACTTAAATAATTTCTGTTCTCCATATAAACAGAACACCAAATAAATCTCCTGGTTCAGTAGGATCTTTTCTCCTCTTCTGAAGTGTTCTGAGGAGATTAAAGGAGTGACAAACACAGAGCAGGAAAAACAACTGCATTTTACAGCATTATACCCATCTGCCCTCTGGCACTAAGATGCAGCTTTTCTCTTTAATGACATGAATAGAGGTATGACAGATTCCTCTCAAGTCTGTCATCAGATCCTTTGGAAACAAACGCATTAAGTGCCTGGTGAATTTTCGTCTATTCACCAAATTTTTCTACCCTACCAGAGTGAGTCTGGAGTCTTCACCAAGCTAATCCCACAAAAGAACCAAGAGAGAGAAAAAAGCACCTCCCGTGCCTCTCCCAAGAGGATGCCACTTCTCATCTGGCTGGAGTGCTGTTTCCTTCTCTACCACCTTTGAATGATGCAGCTGTTCTGGCTCCAAATCAGCCCCTGGCGAGGGCAAGCCTCCAAAGCCCACAGCCCTGCTCCACTTGTTGGTACACAGTGTAAGTAGGGGATGAGTCTCTGCTGTTCCCATAACAGGTAACTTATTTCTACAGGGCTTGTCAGTGAATGATCTTTAATGAGAGTTCCTTACGGCACTATTCATCACTGAAAGTTGTGTGGTTTATTATTATTACTACAGAAGACCAAATTTGAAAACAATAACTCATGCTTCTCAAAGGAAAATAGGCAAAACCTTTATTCCTAAATCAAGGAGATGAGTTCCCAGCCTCTGAGCATTAAGAAGGTGCTACTTTTAAAGATATGTTACAACAAAATGTGATACATTATGATATGGAAGTACAGGGAAAGCTCAGCAGTGATTACAAAATAGTGGAGAACAGGATGGCAACAGATAATTACAAAAAAATTATATTCAGAAGTTCGTAGAAGCATAGATATTTTGCTATGGAAAGGTAGCAAACTTGTCATGTTCCTGCTGATGTGATGACAAGGGCTCTTCATTTATTCTCTAGATAACTTGACACCAGTCTAATTGAAAACAAAATGGGATAAAATTAGAAGAACAGTAAAACCGCAGAGAAGACAACAACAACCACCAAACAATGGAAACAAACACCAGAACTGGCGGGATGGCCTTGCCCAAAGAGTTACCGTCCATGGCTGAATGTTCAAGTGGCAGTCAGTCACAAACAGTTTCCCTCAGGGGTCTGTACTGGGGCCAAAAGCATTTTTTTGACTTTCATCAGTGTCTCATTGACAGTGGGAGCAAGCGCACCCTCAGCAAGTTCACGGCTGACACGAAGCTGTGTGGCCATTGGTGTGTTGGAAGGAAGGGATGCCAACCACAGGGACCTGGACAGGCTCAGAGAGCAGGACCATGTGAACCCCCAGCAATCCCACCAGCAGTGCTGTGTCCAGCTCTGGAGGCCCCAGCACAGGAAACTCATGGCCATGACAGAGCAGGTCCCGAGGAGGCCCACAAAAGCCAGTCACAGGGGCTCAGGGTATGGAGACAGGCTGAGAGAACAAACCCCTCTTGAGATTGGAGGAGAAAAGCCTCTGGAGAGGCCTGCCTGGGGCCTCCCAGATATAGCAGTGGGGTACTTTTATGAAAAACAGAGATGTTTACCAAGGCCTACAGTGACAGGATGAAGAGCTCTGGATTTAAACTGATACAGGGTAGCTTCAGATTAAAGGAAGACATTTGTTCTGGTGGGGTGCTGAGACAGTGGAACAGGTTTCCCAGAGAAGCTGTGCATGTCCCACCCCTGGAAGTGTTTGAGGCCTGGTTGCATGGGGCTTTGAACAACCTGGTCCAATGAAGGATATCCCTGCCCATTTCAGAGTGGGGATGGAAGTAGATAATCTCTAAAAGTTCTTTCGAACCCAAACCATTCTGTGATTCTAGGATTATGATCCAGAAATGGACAAATCTACCCCTTCCAGTATACCCTTGCAAAAGGACCAAAAATTATAACTCAGATGATTGGCATCCTTGCGCTCAAGTCTACCAGGTCACTTTTCAAATACATTTCCCTCTTCTGCTTTCAAAGGGTCAAGTGCAGAGACTTTAGCAGCTCTCACTGCATGGATGTTTCTGCCATAGGAACAACTTACTAATAAAAACATTTCTGGTAGTTTGTTTAATTTATCCCATTTCTTCAGATTGATCCCACTGTTCTTTATAAATCTTTGTAAATATTTGACCATATTTTATCCCCTGCATCACCTCAAAAAACTGCCTGTTATTTTCACTGAAGCTGTAAGGCCCGTGACAATGGTTACACAACTGCGTGATATATCTGATCTTTCCCTCATTTACCTTCTGGGCAACTTGTCCTTAATTCTCATCTTTTTCATGTATTTAAAGAGGATTGTGAGAAAGAATTTCTATGCTAGATAGCATTGATTTTATTTGAGTTCTGGAAAAACAGAAAGAGAAAACCCATCGCTTGTGATTTTTCCAGCTGAACTGCACAAAGCCTGGCGGAGCACCTGCAGAACAGCACCACCTCTGAGAAGAGGTTTCACCTGCATCCACTGATCCTTGACTAGTGAGTAAAAGCCCAGCCTTCCAGGGCCACTCTGACTTACCTTGGCTGTCCACACCAGACCACTCACCAAAACTGCATAGACCAAGGCTTTGCCACAGAGGATGAGGTAAGTGAGCTTCAGGGAATTTCCATACCGCAAGTACGACTCTGCAAGTCAAACACCATTCGTATTTGTGTACCCTGTTTTCATCATCATCATCATTACAAGATGCTGGTCCTCATCCATCAAATGAGAACCCTTGAAATCTTTAGCTAAACAACATAAAGGAAGTAGAGGCAAATGAGTGGCTCTGTTGACACCAGAGAACCAGGGAGGGGACAGAACACAGTGACTCAAAGAAGCAAAAGAGAAAGCAAGTCTAGGAAAGACAGAGATTGGCTTTATGCTGGGAAAGTACTGAGTTCCACACCTACTGATGAACTGGGCTGTTTGTCTGAGTCCCCTGCTAGGAACACAAAGGAGGCTGAATCAAAAGATACCAATGTTTTATTTTGTCTCATTATTGTCAGTGGCCTTATGAGTGCTGCTGCTGTATCAGGAAAGTTTTACAAAGCCCAGAATAACATGCCTTCTAGAAGTTTTATTCTTGAAGATTTTTCACTCTTAAGGGGTTGCCATAGAATTGAGATACAAGATCTGTTTTGGTTCAGCCTTAAGATTCCTGAAGCATTCAAGAAGTTCTTGAAAAACAGGAGTGTGCAAATATGTACATAAAGAGGAAAGAAATGTAATTTCTAATATAGATATCCTCCATACGTGACAGCAGTGTGGAGTGGAATGTGACTCATCATGGGAATTGTTCTGAGTTGGATACTGAGAAATATTCAGAATATCATATCCTGAATCTTGAGGTCAGAATCACTTGGATAAGTATGGATCATTTCTTTCTGGGCTGAGCAAGAATATTCCCAATGGAAGTCAGTTTCAAGGTCTGGAGGAGACGATAAAGAATAAATTACAGTCTACAGGAAGGCACCATGACTTCATCAATTTTCAAAATGGAATCATAGGGGAGAGCTAAACCCCAAAGCTGAGCTACATACAATATGCATAAATAGCGCTCCAAAAAACTTTTCTTCTTTGTCTTTTGTTTTGGTTTTTTTTAATATCACATGCAAATCACTTACAGGAGAAAGTAGAAGCTATTCATGCAGCAGATATATCCCACACGTTGTACTTAGTGTCAGTAAAACTGGCATTAAAATACACACTGATAATTGCCTGAGAGAAGAGGCAAAGTTCCCTTTACGTGAGAAGCCACACGTACCTTCTGTGAGTGCACAACCTGAAAGACAAAAATGAGCTGAAAGTCACATTTCTCTTCAGAGCAAACAGAATACAGATTTTAAAAGTTTCAGTTTATCAAACACTGCCTCATCCCTCCTACTAAAACTAGGTGTTTTATGATACTTTGCAATTTACTCTACTACAGAGATTTCTCAGTGGAAAGCCGGAAGAAACTCTAGATGTAGAATGGTAACCCAGGGACAAAGGCCCAGGAATGGGAAGGGACATATGCTAATACCTAGATCTTTAGGTATGTAATTGTGCCAGAAGAACACCTTGTATGGAAGCTATATATAGATGTGGTTCATATCATAACACTTGCTCTTTTGATTTGTGATTTCTCATACAGCATGGTGAGAGATGGTTTCTTACTCACCAGCATCACCATGGATAAATTTGTTTTTTGATGCTGTTGTTCCATTCTGAAAAAAATTGGCAACACACTCAAAGCGATTCAGAGGGTTGAACCACTCCCAGGCTGGCATCCTCAGTCGGCTGGTCAGTGAGTAGGTGCTCCCATTCTGTGTGGAGGACTCGTCTGTCCCCACCCCTTCGGTCCTTTTCACACCATTCACCCTCCAGACCAGAGTCAGGTGGTCAGGGTAGAAACCAGAGGCCAGGCACACCAGCGTGGCCTTGCTCTTCTGCTGGATCTCCTGCTTTGATGGGGAAAAGATGGCCACAGCTGGAGGTATGATTTTATCATCCTTCCCTGAAACACAAAGCAACATGGTCCAGAGCCTCCATCCCTCTCTTCAATCAGAACCCCCTGGAAATGGTCCTGAGTTTGTGCCGTGTTACTCCTGAAATACCTGGCCTTTTAACTGCTGTCAATTGACAATTCATGTCTATTGGGTACGACACACCAGGAAAGTGGAAGGATTTCTTTTCGCTCATCACAGTGAAACATGAAGGGTCTGGCCACAGAAATGCACGAGCACATGAATTTCTTGTATTGCCTCTGTGAGAAAATTACAAAGCTGCAAAGAAACTGAGCAAACAAAAGGGCAGAAAAGTCCCCAGTTTTGCTGTAAGTAAGGCCTGTATTTGTATTATTGTCTTAAAAGTTAAGGGAGTCTCTTATAAGCAGAAACATCTTCAGCAAACTGGGTTGTATTCCTGGAGAATGAGTTAAGACATGGTGTTCGTTGCAGCGTTCAGAATTATACTGTCATGGGATACCCTACTTGGCCCCCCATCTATGAGATGACCTGGAAGGAAGGAAACAAGGAAGGAGCTGATCCTTCTCACTGTCTGAAGTGAAAAGCAATTGAGGCAGGTAACATGAATCTGCCTGGGACGGATCTTGCCTTGGGTCTTAACCAATGCATTTTCAAGAACATTAAACATGACTTGATGTAATTTAATTCTGAGGTTATTGTAGGTATGAGAAGCTCTGATCCTAGGCTACACTCCTTCCCAGCATGATGCAAGATTCTATACACTTGCAAATCAAATGTGCTTCCCTGTCCTAAAGTGTTTAATACCTACTTGTACGATTAATGAGAACAGACTTCAGTCAGAAGAATGTACAAAGCAGACATGAGAAGTTGCTCAGAAGCTAAGCAGTGACCCTAAAAGACAGGGGGGTTCCATATACTGTATCAAAATGCCTTTTTGACCCATCTAGCATGAGAAACCCATGAGGTTTGTAGAGTGCTGCTGGAAAAAGGAATGTAGGGAAAACAATGGAGCCAAAGAGAAAATTATTACTCTGGGCTGGTATTTTGTATGAAGGCATGAGGAAGTGTGGATGTTCTTCCTGATCACTCTCTCCTTTGCAGAGGAAGAGAGGTAGCAGAATGAGCAGAAATTAATATCTTGCCGAGATCTTGTCCCCTAAGCCCTCGTGTTTGCATTCAAATGATGCCTTAATTGTGACCACCAGAGCTTGCTCTGCAAAGATCCCTGGGCTGCTTCTGTAGGAGCTTGTACAGACTTTAGATGACCTGATATTAAATAGAGGTAACTCCTGAGAGGATTTAGCACTGCTCTGCTTTCCTTTTAGTGGGTATGAAGAGAGCTTGATCACTTCTACTTCTCCCTGCACTCCCAGCACTTGGCATTATGATTTTTTTTCCTATCCTAGAAGTATCTCTGAGAAGTTCTTTGGCTCATAGCCCTAAAGGCTAGTGAATGGAGAGATGGAAACAGATAGTAGGACACAAAAGAAAAGATTAAAACTCAGAAAATGACAGTGCCCCATTAAAAAAAAAAAGGCAGGTAAAAAGGGAGACAGAAAGAATGATAAAACTACTGGGAAGAAAAAGAAAATGAGCAGGTTAGAAATGGAAAAAGGAGATTGGTAAAAGTCAGAACTGGAAGAAGTGTCTGATCAGCAGCCCATTGTGTCTAGTCTGCTATACTGGTCCTTTTCTTTCCCAACCTCTATAATATTTCCAAGGAGAATGAGAGGAAACAAAATTATTTATTCCCTTCTCCCTTCATGAATTTCTGAGAGATGAAAGACAAAGGCTGCAGACACAGAGATCTCAAAATCGTTGCTTTCAAATTCTACAGTTTCATAGTAGCACATCTCATTTTAATAAGCTACCTGTAAAGCATTAATCTTGTTCTCATGGCTGCATGAAAAATTATCGATATTAAACTTTTAATTAAGAGTGTTCTTGTCCCCTAACGAGTATCACATAGATAAAGACATCTGCCTTCTTACTTACCTATGACCGTAAGTTTTGTCCCACTGCCAAAGAACAACTGATCATTATTCACACCATTTTGCAGCTGCAGAAAAACTTCTCCTCTACTCCCAGACCTCTGAGCCAAGCCTGTGGACTAACCCTCCCCTCATGTGGTATCAGCAAAAGAAGAAACACAAAGTACTCAGGTCCCCTAAAAAAACAGGTCTGTAAGGGAACACCACCAAAATCTGTGTGTCTAAACAGCTGTGATCAACATCAGATATACTCTGTCCAGAGCCCTTTTGCTTTAGGCGCAGGTGAATCAGTTGTTGGAGGTTCCACCATTTCTTTAGAGGACATTTAGCTCTTTATCTAGGTGTCATATTAGAATATTAAAAAATATTTCCCATATGCAGACTGAGTAATTTCTTTTTCTTAGCTAAATAGCCACATTTCCTATAAGTTTTGTTCTACATTTTGAGTATTTTTCACTTATAAAATAAATGCCTTTTTTTAAACATGCAAAATAATTCCTAATATATAGCACAGTGTCTTGGTCCACTCTGCCCTTCACAGAAGTTCCTAAACATGCCCCCTTTCCATTTCCCTTCCCCTTTCTCTGGAAGGCTTTCCTTGAAAGGAAGTCTCTGCTTTTATTCTCTGTCCTGCCTTGTTGATGATTATTCACATTTGCTGCATAAATGCCTATGGTCAATGAGGAGTCAGCATATTCATTTTTACCAGCTCAGTCATCTCAGATAAACTTTGGATTTCAAAAAATGTGCTGATCGTTTTTTCCTATGGAGATTGAATTTCACCGTTTGTTATCAATTTATTCTGTAGTGGCACAACGTGGCACAAATATCTGAGGCATCAATTCTTCCATAATTTCTCAGCATCTGAGCATCAGCCATCTTTTCCCCAGATTTGGATAATCCAAATCCATAAATGTGGCTGAGAAAGAAACATTCTCTGAGAGCTCCTTCCCCTTGAAATGAATCATATATTCTTCTTCTGTGGTTTTCAGTGGCTGTTTATCATGTATTCTGAAATAGTAAGACTGTTGTCCTTAATGATGTTTTTATCACCATCCTGGCAAGCCTGTACAGTGGAAAGAAACTATCTGTGCAGTGGAGAGCTACTTTCTATAACAACAAGGACTTAAAAATCTGCAGTGAGATTTTAGTATTGCTATTTAGTATTATTATAAAGTTAAGCATTTATTTTTGCCTTCTGTTTTATCAACCAAAAATGCTAGCACATGTGTTTTTCCTGGTTATCTGAGACAACACATTCTTTAATTCACCCTGGGAAGATCCAAGGTAATTTAGGCTTGTATCAGCTTGATTTTGTTTTCTAGACCCCTTCAAAGTGTAACTGTAAGTCAGTTCTTTCCAGAGAGATAGACAGCTTTTCACTGACTTGTTCTTAATAATCTCTAGCCCCAGCAGAACCAGCATTATAGAGAGTAGCTATATTTTGGGGGAAATTTTTTGTATGTGTTGATTCATTAGGACAACTTTTTTTTATGTCATGCACACATTATTTCTCTCATTCCTTATCCTTATTCTTTCTAGGGACAGCTTTTTCTTTACTGGAAACACATTCATTCCGTTCTCCAAAATGAAAGGTGTGTCCCTACCTAGAGGACCCAACTTATTCTATTCTCTGAAGTAGATAGGGTTACTAGCACACCAGGAGAACACCAGTTTAATAATGTTAGGGAGGATAATAATGAAATTCTCTAAGGAGAAGACATGGCATTTGAAGTGAATTAAAAGAGGAAACAAAAATTTCTTACCTATTACTGTAAGTTTTGTGCCACTGCCGAAAGAGAGCCCAGAGGTGTACACAGTGACAAAGTGATGTATCGTAAGCTAAGAGAAGAGATGCACTGCAGCTGCCTTACTATAAGCGAAGCCTAAGAAATCATTTTGGCATTTGGCATTCTGAACATCACTCAATCTCTGTCTAAAGGGATATGGCAGAAAACAAGCTTGAAATCAGTTGTATAGCCTGTAGAATTCATAAAAGCATTTCCCAGATTTGTTTGATACTTTGTCTACTTTCACCCCAAGTTGTTTTTGCAACCTTTCTCCAATCTCCATGTTATGTCACTGATTTTATCTGCTATTCTCATTTTTCACATCTTGAAAACAATCAGACACATCCAAATGCTGTCACTGTCTAGGAATAGAACCTTTCTGCACCTACAACTTCCTCACTGTCAGTCTTGTATTCCAAGCATTGTGATGCCTTCTTTTCTGTAACTTGTGAAGTTAATATTGAATGATATGTGCTTTGTGGTTTTCATAGTCAAATGCACGTGGTTCACCTTTGTCCACAAACTGAAACAAATCCCTTTGTTTTCCCTTCCATGGCAGGCCAGCTGTTTTGAATAGTCTTTCAGGATGCCCTTCAGTTTTCTGATAGGTTAAAATAATCCACACAAGGAGAGCCCAGAAGAATCTGTTGACTGGTCCCAGACAAACCTTCGTAGCCATTAGGAAGAACTGCAGTGAGACAGTGGGGATAGGGATTACAGGCAACCTTTGCTCTCACAGGCATGAGGCAGTCAGCAGATATTGGAGGATTATTTAAGAGAGAAAAGCACAACACATTTTATGTAGTGCCTCTGAGAGATACTTCTACATGTCACAATTCTTTCTCTAACACTTGTATCACTTTAAGAAAAAAACATTTTGTCATTTGTTGCAACCATTGGTGAATGTGGAAACAAGAGTAATTCCAGTTTTGCATGGTTGATAGGCTTCAGGTGCATCTGCAGTCACAGTTTGGTTTGGTGAAAATGAATTTCAATACCTCAGAATTTCCTAGCTTGCATGCCACGGAGGGCAGGCTCAGTTCTCAAATGATGAAAGTAAGTCCCAGCATAGAAGGTCTGTTAAGAGAAACCAAGGCAGAGCATGCCTGGTCTGCTGCAGGATTCTGTGCAGCTGCCTTCACACGCTCTGCCGCAAGGCTCATGCACACATGGGTTTTTGTAAAGGCTTCCTGGGGAATGTATCATCGTGGATCCCCCTGTCCCCACAATGATACAGTCTCCTACAAAAACAATCCCACCCATGACTCCACCCCCTGTTTTTGTCAACTAGGAATGACTGTCATGATTACCTGTGCTGGTTTGGACTGCTGTACAGTTCATTTCCTTCATGGTAGCTACAGTGAGGTTGTGTTTGGGCTTGTTCTGCAAATACTGTCGACAAGAGAGAAGTGGTTTTGTTTTTGTTAATGTGCATTCAAGGACTTTTCGTCTTCTCATACCCTCATGCTGACAAGAAGGCTGGTGGTGCATGTGCATGGGAACTTGGGAGGAGGAACAGCAGGGAGAGCTGATCCCAACTGATCCAAGGAATATTCCATATCCCATGGTGACACATTCACTATGTGAAAGAGGCAAGTAGTAGGAAGAAGAAGAAAGAGAGAGATATTTGGAGAGATGGTGTTTGTCTTCCCAAGCACCATTAGGTGTGATGGGGCCCTGCCTTCCTGGGAATGGCTGAACACCTGCCTGCCCATGGGAAGAGGGGAATGAATGCCTTGTTGTCATTTGCTCGTGTGCATAGTTTTTGCTTTACCTCTTAGACTGTCTTTATCTCAAGCCACGAGTGTTTCACTTGTGCTCTTCTGATTCTCTCTCCAGTCCTGCTGGTAGGGAGTGAGCGAGCAGCTGCGCGGGGCTTGATCCTGGCTGGGGCTAAACCATGACACAACCACAGACCACATCCTTCCTTTGCCATTGCTGTTCCTCTGTGATAGTCCAATCACCTCTCAGTGTATTCATTATTGCCCAATTTATAATCTCAAGATTTTTTTCTTATACTCAAAAAGGTAACACTTTTTATTCTTTTATTGGTTGGCTTTAAATGCAGTAATTTTTCACTTGGTAATGTCATGGCCATGTTCATGCTGCTTTCCTTTCTACTCTTTCTCTCTTCAGCTCCAGGATAACAAAAACTTCAAGCTCACAGTTTGCAATTTTTGGTTTGCAATGAGAGTCATTTGCTTACTACGGGCTGGTGTTTGTCTCTGTAGCTTGGTGTTGCTTGAGAGCATCCTCCCAGGGCTGGGACTCTGCCTATGAAAAGGCTTCATCTAGGAGTAAGAGCAAGCCTTCATTTTGCAGACTGTCTGAAGGGATGGGAACTGATGGGGAGAGGTAACAGGCTACATTTATCTCCCTCCCTTATATGTAAGTGACATGGTCTTGTCTCACAAAGTTTCGACACATAGTTAGCAACCTGACCAAGTATCTGTAGTGAATCTGTTTTTCATATTGCTCTTTAATGGCTTCCTTTGAATCAGTCTGGATATGAAAAATAGACTGTAAAACACAGAAGAAAATCCCTCAAAATAAGGTCATTCTACTAGGAAAATCACTATAAAAATATTTTTTCTATTATTTTCAGATATCAGAGAAGAACCCATAATTTCTGATATAGCCTGTTTAGCTGGGAAGAGGTGTTAGTGTCCTAGAGAAGGGAATTGGAAACACAGACTAAGATGTAACATGTAGAACCAAGAGAGAGGACTACAGAACATGAGGTATTGGGCTGGTTATCTCAGCATGCTTCTGGGTTGTTCTCTCGTCTACAACAGTGAACGGAGTACTTAGTCACTAATTATGTCTGTTTATGCACAACATTCGTTTGTATATATGGAATTCTTCCAAAAAATACATTTAGGATTTTTTTTTTTTGGCTGTCACTGCCTAAATAATAAAACCAATAGTGGAATATTATTTTCCTGCCTTGGTCTTAGTATGTCTGTGACCTTAACACTATTTATCCAGGGACTTAACCCCATTGGACTAAAATTCATTTAAGACTATTCTGTCTGCCTCTCCAGTCTAGAGCTCCATTAGTGTACTTACTGTCACTTACAGACTCTTTTCCATGAGGTGTCTTTCATTTAAAAAGAAGGAAGTCACCTCTCAATTAGTTTTGAAGGAGTATGTGGTGCTAGCAGCTTCTCAGGTCATGTTCAAAAGGCAATTTCCAAGACATGCCAGCAGAGACCAGTCTTGTTGCACCTTAATGTTCCTTTATAACCTGTCAAAAGGGAAGGACTTGCAGGCCATGAATTCAAATAAATGTGAGTGACAAAAGAAAGGGGAGGGAGATCCTTGATTTTTATTTCCAAGTCTTTCATAGGAGGCTTTTTGAGCTTTGTAGGCTATGCTGCCTAAGACTTCAGACAAGGAAAAACAACAATGTGTAAGGAATAAACATTTAGGGATATATTTTCTAACAATTATATTATTTTTCTGGGAGAATTTTACAGGAAACTATAAACTGCATCAGTCATACCTGTCCTCCATTCTTTGGAGTTTACAGAAGAAGCAGGTGCAAAGAAGCAGGCCAGTCTACAGAGACTCCCTGAGCTTTACAGACTTGTTTTAGAGACACTAGGATGCTTTTCATAAATATCCAATGCATTTGACCACAACTCCATAAAGTTAAGCAACAGCTCTTCTTCAGGGCCTATCTGTGCAGTGAAAAGATATGATGGCGGAAGGAGGGATCTGATTAATAATTTGGCTTCGAAGACAGAGGCTGCTGCAATGCTCTATTGCTCTCCAATTCAAAATATCCTGGGTCTATTGCCCCAACCTCTATGAAGTCTTCTTTCTGATCTTCCTCTGCGCCTCTCCTGACTGTCTCACATTTTTCAAAGACTCCATCTCTCACTCAGAGAAGCTGGGGATTTTATCTTGGTGTTCAACCCCGTTGCTACACCGTGCGATCGTTCGCAGCACAAAAATACGTGGCTGCATCCTGGGCTGTCACATTCTTGATTGTCATCAGAGAGTAATCAGTATTCTGTCTGGTTACTTCAAACTTGGCCTCAGAGTAACCATCCTCATAAGAGTTAAGACTCCATGTACTACTGCTGACTATTAACTTCAAACCATTTTTTGGAGGCTGCTGGTACCAGAACATATAGGCAAGGCTACTGTAATTCTGGTAGCAGGAGATGGTCAAAGAGCCTCCAGGTCTCAGAACGATTTTTTCAGGCCACTGAGCAATGTAGGCTCCAATCCCAATACCTGCATTAATAAGAGATAACAAGAGAGAGTGAGGAGTAGGAGTACAGGTGATGGCCAAAAGGGTCCTCTACCTTGCAGTAGCCCTGCATGGCCTGGATGAGAGCCCTGCTGCAGATGGATCTGTCGTCTCTCACCAGGTAAAAGAGCAAGCACAACAGCCAGCATGGCTCTCCAGCTCTCCCAGGACAGTGTGCTCCTGCTCACTGTCAGACAAGAGTTAAGAGAGACCCATGCCCCTCCCCTTGCCCTGCTTGGTCTGTCGGGTCTGGGCAGGGAAGAGAGAAGGGACTGTCCAGCTGGGATGCTTTCTTTGGTGAGCCAGTAAAAGCAAAGCTAAATCTTCATGTGGCTCCAAGGTCTGCTTTAGCTTGTCCACAAGTCAGTGTTCTGAGCTGCTGACACAAATGTGGAATTTCTCGCAGACCAGTACATTGCTGGCTGAATGCTGAGCTGTCGTTCCATGATGGAGAGGGTCTGGGTGTTGGAGGCCAGACAGGAACCTAGGATCACTGGATTCATGTGGGATTTTTTGACCCATTTATATCAGCGGCTATACCTTGGGCCATCTTTGCAGAAGGATTTCCAGCAGAAGCACACCTGTACTGTTTCATTCTGAGGAGTTGTTCTCAATATCTGGAGCACAGTATTTCACAACTCGGATCTTGTTAGTCAGAAGCAAAGATGGTAGATCAAGATAGCAAAGGCACAAAAATTGTATTTAATCATATCTTAGTTTCTTCAGTTTTCCAGACAGGCATGCATATTCCCTGCTGGTTAATCTTCCTGGGAGCTCTAATTCACTTTTACAGAAATCAAGACATCTCCACCAGCCATTTTTTCTCAAAACAAAACCAGTAGTTAAGCATAAACCTCATGAACAGTCTGTTTGTTTCTAGCCTGCCACATACATCCTAGTTAGCCTATTCTACATATGTATTATATTCTGTTCTATTCCATACAACTCTATATATAGAACCTATGCCACTCTCCATTCTTTTCTGAATATAAGATTCTAAATTATTATTGCAACTGCTTCTTTTCTCCCTAGTACTTTTAAAGAAATACATTTAATTCTAATGACCTTCAGTAATCCTGATATTGCATCTTGCAAACAATTGGGATACTTCTGGGGTTCTATCCTTCTCTCTTTTTTCTCTTTTTCTCCATTTTTCTTTTTAAGGGCCTATCTGTGCACTGAAAAGATAAGACAGTTGAAGGAGGAATCTGGTTAATGATCTGAACAAATCTGAGGACAAGCAATGAGACAAGGAGAGTAGCTGTTTCATGAGAAACTTAGAATAGTGGCTTTTTGTGCAGATGCAATTCATTCTGGCCAAAGAAGTACTGCATGGGAGAAAAATGTCTCTTAGTGCTGGAAGAGGGAACTGTAATCACAGAATTCACAATGGCAATGAACCTAGAGATCTCTGTGGTTTGCTATTGCCACCTGGAAATTGCACAGCTGTGAGCACTCAAGAGCCATTTCATTAAACTGCTATATGTTGAAGGTGACTGATAAGTTTGTTATCACAAGGCCTGAAAATTGCCTTTGCCACTCAAAACTCAAAGTGCTGTGGAGGTGAGAAGTAAAAAGGATCCTTCCTCTGTTGTATTACCAGAGCTGAAAATGTGGTTTGCAGTGCTTATGAAAAAGGTCTGAGCTAGTGCTGTAACATGCTTTTCAGGAATGGGTAACTTACTAAAACAGAATTAAAAAAAAAAAACAACCAAACAAACAAAAAACAAACAAACAAAAAAACCCAAGCAAACAAACAAAAAAAAACCACAAAAAACCCACAAACCCAACAAAAAACCCAAACCAAAACAAAAAATCACCCCAAGGCCTCCACCAAAGTGTTTATATTTCTTCATAATTCCACCATGAACTAGTTTTCCTGAAACTCTCACAGGGAACTTGGATCAGCAGTAATAATTCAATAATTACAGACAGCATCAGCATGAACATGTATTACAAAGATGATCTCTTCAAAAAGATTAGAGGCTGAAGAAAAAAGGATCTCAGTATGTCTCTGCTATGTGAGAAACAACACTTTCCCAGTGCTCCCCTGCTGTTTGTCTGTAGCCTGACATGAACAGGGACATGATCATGGACCTGAGGGTGTTCTGAGGAGCAGAGGAGCACTCCTTGAGAGCAAGGAGTGGTGTGTTACATTTGCTGCTGAGCAGTTCTTGAAGTCAGGAGAATATTGGCTCCAAGGGTGTCACACATCTGGATTTCCCTAGCCCAGAACTGTTTACTTTCTTTCAGTGCACAGGTAGGTTTATGTAGTGTGGTTTATCAGGAGACTTGGATGCTGCCATGAAACTGAGTGATCCATCTTGGCCTTGGCACTGCAGGAGTCTTCCAGCAGTGCTGGTGACGTGGAGCGTGAGGATCTTTTACAGGACCTGCTCCCAGCTGATTCCTGCTCCTTGCTCTTACCAGCTATTCTTACAACCTCCCACTCCTTTTCTTGCTGTGATCACACAGTGCGTGTCACTTCAGCATATCCATATCCAGCTTTGCCACATCATGGAGCAGCACATTTGCTACCTGTGATAGCCAAGTGCTTCCTATGCCATGCCCTCCACGTGAACACATGAAACAATCAACTGGTTCCTGCTCAGTGGTAGGTATGCAGACTGTCAGGGTCACAGCATAAAAACAGAATCCAAAATACACAGAGTATAGCCACACTTTCTTAAAAACACCTTTTGCTTTTTTATGGGCTGTTTGCCTTCCTTTGGAGAAAAGGTAAGTCCTAGGTTGTGCAATAAAAGCAGGAGCATGGACAGGCAATGGCAGGTGAGGGAACCCTAATAATACCCTACCCTCAGCTTTCCAGGTCTATCACAGAAGAGCAATTAGTTCATCAAAAGTTCAGCTCTGCAAGCAATGGAGACAGAGGCACAATGGGAGGAAATTTCTGCCTTCAGCTGTTTCTCACAAGTAACAGCAGCTCTTTGTGGTTTCTTTTCTCTGCCTATGAAGTTTTGCCGTGAAGGGATGCCTGGGTCCAGCTCAGAACTGTATGCATTCCTGTGGCAGGGAAGAAAGGGATCCTGCAATTAAGTAGTGTGTGAAGCAGGTGAATAAAATGCTGCAGTGTACACTGTTGCTTGTAAAGATGCCAAGGGACTGTTCCTTCCACGATGAGCAGGTATGCCTGGTCCCCTGGGTATGTTTTCCTCCACTGTTACTGGCCCCATCCTCCTAATTCCATAATCAGGGGCTGAGCTCTTCTCACACATCAGTTTCTCACTGGGCACCTCAGTTCTGTGTGGATCAGGACTATGGGGAAGAACTTTGAATTCTCCGTCAGCTCTGTATTATTTTACTGGTGCTGTGGGAGTATCTGTGGGGAACTAGTGCCCTGGGACATGACTGTGCCTCTGGAGTACTAACCATCAGAAATATCTGCTGCCTTATCTAACCATACCACCCGTGCCTCAGTTCGCTATGCTGATCTATGGGTTTGTATTTCTGTCTTTGCCTTCAAAGACAGAGGTTACTGCACTGCTCTATCTCTCCCCCATTCAAAATATCCTGGGTCTATTGCCCCAACCTCTATGAAGTCTTCTTTCTGATCTTCCTCTGCGCCTCTCCTGACTGTCTCACATTTTTCAAAGACTCCATCTCTCACTCAGAGAAGCTGGGGATTTTATCTTGGTGTTCAACCCCGTTGCTACACCGTGTGACCGCTCGCAGCACAAAAATACGTGGCTGCATCCTGGGCTGTCACATTCTTGATTGTCATCAGAGAGTAATCAGTATTCTGTCTGGTTACTTCAAACTTGGCCTCAGAGTAACCATCCTCATAAGAGTTATACCTCCAAGAAGTACTACTGACTATTAACTTCAAACCATTTTTTGGAGGCTGCTGGTACCAGAACATATAGGCAAGGTTACTGTAACTCTGGTAGCAGGAGATGGTCAAAGAGCCTCCAGGTCTCAGAATGATTTTTTCAGGCCACTGAGCAATGTAGGCTCCAATCCCAATACCTGCATTAATAAGAGATAACAAGAGAGAGTGAGGAGTAGGAGTACAGGTGATGGCCAAAAGGGTCCTCTACCTTGCAGTCGCCCTGCATGGCCTGGATGAGAGCCCTGCTGCAGATGGATCTGTCGTCTCTCACCAGGTAAAAGAGCAAGCACAACAGCCAGCATGGCTCTCCAGCTCTCCCAGGACAGTGTGCTCCTGCTCACTGTCAGACAAGAGTTAAGAGAGACCCATGCCCCTCCCCTTGCCCTGCTTGGTCTGTCGGGTCTGGGCAGGGAAGAGAGAAGGGACTGTCCAGCTGGGATGCTTTCTTTGGTAAGCCAGTAAAAGCAAAGCTAAATCTTCATGTGGCTCCAAGGTCTGCTTTAGCTTGTCCACAATCAGTGTTCTGAGCTGCTGACACAAATGTGGAATTTCTCGCAGACCAGTATATTGCTGGCTGAATGCTGAGCTGTCGTTCCATGATGGAGAGGGTCTGGGTGTTGGAGGCCAGACAGGAACCTAGGATCACTGGATTCATGTGGGATTTTTTGACCCATTTATATCAGCGGCTATACCTTGGGCCATCTTTGCAGAAGGATTTCCAGCAGAAGCACACCTGTACTGTTTCATTCTGAGGAGTTGTTCTCAATATCTGGAGCACAGTATTTCACAACTCGGATCTTGTTAGTCAGAAGCAAAGATGGTAGATCAAGATAGCAAAGGCACAAAAATTGTATTTAATCATATCTTAGTTTCTTCAGTTTTCCAGACAGGCATGCATATTCTCTGCTGGTTAATCTTCCTGGGAGCTCTAATTCACTTTTACAGAAATCAAGACATCTCCACCAGCCGTTTTTTCTCAAAACAAAACCAGTAGTTAAGCATAAACCTCATGAACAGTCTGTTTGTTTCTAGCCTGCCACATACATCCTAGTTAGCCTATTCTACATATGTATTATATTCTGTTCTATTCCATACAACTCTATATATAGAACCTATGCCACTCTCCATTCTTTTCTGAATATTTGATTCTAAATTATTATTGCAACTGCTTCTTTTCTCCCTAGCACTTTTCATGAAATACACATAATTAATTCTAATGACCTTCAGTTATCCTGATATTGCACCTTCAAAAAACTCTGGGATACTTCTGCAGTGTTCTCTTTTTCTTCATATTTTGTTGTTATCCCCTCTCCCATATTGTCTCATACTCTAGAGAGATTTATATCTTCTCTAGGCCTCCAGACATTTATATAAAAGGCATGTTCTTTCTATGAGCCTGGCAATATTGTACTTTCTTAGAGCCTGAGGCCTAGTTCCCGAATCCTCCAGGATTCAGAGCAGTGTAAATCTCAAAAATTTGGTAGTGAATGTTCCCTGTGTACTTTTTAAATCTTTCTTTTTAAGGGAGTTAACAGAAATTGCCTGAGTAGTTATAGCTTCTTCCCAATCAGGAATTAAAATGCATTTTATATGATGTATAAAAGTTTTGTATGATTTCTAGTGTCATGAACACTTTGCATCTAAGAAATAGGGGTTTGGCCAGTTCTTGGGTTTTCTCAGGAGAAATTATTCCATACCTGTGCTGCCATGAGGTTGAACCCTGTGCTGGAGATATTACAGTTTCAGTGACTTGTCAAGGAATTGCAGATGATACAGACCTTTTTGGTTTTTTAATTACCTTCCATAACTTTTACATTTTTATTTAAATTTTTATGCTGTTTTTAAAGTCAAAACATCAGTTAGCAAATGAATTTGAACAAATTTAATATAATTCCATATCCTTTTATGTTTCAGTACTGATTATTCTTTGATGCATATTTTTAGCTTTTATTCCTCACAAGCTTTTCTTTTTATGGAAAGTTTATTTTGATTTTACTTGTTCTTCATTATTTTTTAGACATTTTGCCCTTTTACCTTACTGCTAGGATGGGACACTTTTAGACACTTCCATGGAGCCTGCTGAGACAGTTCCATAGGACACTGCTGCTTTGATCAATGTCCCAAAATGCATGCCTTTTGCATGAAGGCAGTACAGGATTTTTAGTTTGATTATTGTCTGTCATGCCAAACCTGTTAAAAGCCTTTTTTTCCCAGTAGCAATCAGACCTTAACTCCTGGAGGGAGAAACTGTTTCAGACTTGATGGGAAATTAAACAGATTGTGGAGGCTGTGGGAAGTAATTCTAAGATTGTTCTGTGTAAGAACTCTGAGACAAGGAAAAAAACATTTCAATGCAGTTGGGCTACACCTTCTTTAATCACTTATGTTAGAATTTATTACTCATTCCAGGATGAAGATTTCTATTCAGATGAGCTTTTCTGTCTCAGGAAACAAAAGATGATTGCAGACTCTCCAAAGGAAGGAAGCAACTGGAAGATGTAACTCAGGACCTCTAGTGTGTCTCTCAGGAATTGCTTAATATGTTACTGCCTTTTGATGAGTAACTAAATTGACAGACCTTTCATTTTTCAGTTCAAAATGTCTAATTCTTTCAGTCTGTTTTCTTCTAAGATTAAAGATGAAACAAGGGAAAAAAAAAAAGGACCAAGATAAAGGCAGGTATGGTCAATCTTCCCAATTAAGATCCTGAACTACTGTACTAAGGGAAGAATGGATGCAGAAAAGTGGAGGAATACAGTTATAAAATGGGCCATTCACAGGTAAACAGGATGCTAGTGAGTATGCCTGTCTGGCTATGCTTTGTACTTGCTTAGCTCAGTTTTACTAAGTCCTGTCTTACTAATTTCTATTTCTAAGTATTTACCTGAGGGAGGAACTGTCTATTCTATGTGCATGTGTTTTGTGCCTGGACATCCACGGGCTAGGAACTGGAGTCAGACCACAGGCACCAGCAGCTGGAGAGAGCAGACTAGGTGAACTTAAGCAGCAGACACTGGAGAAGGGCCACAGGCCAGAGGGGCCATGTGTTCCCCGTGCTGGCAGCTGGGCAGAGGGAGGGTGTGCAAGTGTGTGATCACTAGTGAACGTGAAGCCAGACTACCTGGCAAGTAAGTGAGGTGACCTGGGCTCCAGGTGTGTGTCTCTAATGGTAAGAACAGTGAGAGGTGGCAACAAGAGGAAGCAGGGGAGTCACAGGCATTTTTTGGAGAGGAAGCTGTGTGAGAGGTGCGTGTGTGGACATAATGGCAACTGGACTGCAGCTCTAAGGGACTCAGAGGTCCAAGGGCTGGCACATGTGACTGGGATCCAGTGACAGCCACTGGACTCAGTATCTCAGCACAGAAACATGTGAAAAGCTTGCACACTGTACATGTGTATACATATATTTCCCACTACTGAACTTTCCCACACTACTTGTCTAGAACCCTGATTTCCCACGGTGAACCCCAGCCAGAAAGGGACAAAAGATGAGGCCATCAGTGCTGTGGGTGCATCTGTGTTGATCCATGTGTTCACCTGTGTATAGATGTATGTATGCTTGGTATTTATTGGTATAAATACTGGGGAGACATTCTCATTCTTACTGACAGCTGGGCCAGGGGGCCTGGAGCTGTGGTAGCTTCCCCTCTGTCAGCCCAGCCTAACAGTGAGCCTTGGGGAAAAACCATGAGATCTCCTCCCTAAGGGCAAAAGAGACCATAGAAGAGTTATGACAATGAGGAAAGGGCTGAGGTATGCTGCCCACATGGAAGAGAACCAAGGGAATAAGGAAAAGATTCCTACTGAAGAGTGTTTAACATACACTGGGAACAGTAAGTACTGGCTTAGCAGAGGTTTGTGCTGGATTTGGAAACTAATGTCATGAAACAAGAGCATCAGGCAAAGGTGGTCTTCCATCTCCCAAATGTTAGAGAAAAATGCGTGTTGCAAAGCAAGGAAGGCACTGGAAACCCATTATCCGACCTACATGTAGGCTTAGTGCCTAAGGTCTGGGCTAGAATTGCATCCAAGACAGTGGTGACGGTGAGCATCAGATGGCTCTGTAGTTTTAGGGGATTTAAGGCACCTCAGGCCAGTCCCTTTCAGTAGTCTACACTAGTACAGGAAGGTCCTCCAGGGCCAATTCTTTGCAGACAATTCTTAGAGGAATCCTTCCTCCTCCTCCTTGTCATCCCTTGCCCAGTAAGACCCATGTTGCTCCTTTCTTTACAGCTCTCACCCCCAAACAGTCCAGTCAAATTCTATTTCTAATGGAAGCAGCTTGGCTGCTTATCTGGTGAAAGTTCCTTTTCCTCATCCATTCTATTTCACCGTGCCAGCCTTGCTGGCTGCCACCTCTAAACTTCTTCCCAAGTTTTTCAGACCATCTGACTTTCCACATCACCACCTTTACACTTTTCCCAGTCCTTCCTTGTCTTCTTTTTTGTTTCCCAAACTCTCCATCCCATATTTTTATAGCAAAGAGTCAGATTCTAGGTTTAGAGATGTTAAAATTGCCCAGTTTGTATAGGCTTGGGGTACATAGACTCTCTAGGAAAGGTTCTTCAGCTCTTCTGCTCTCTTGCAGATCATGGGCTGGATGAGAGGGATTAAATAAATATTGTATTTGCAGGGAGCCCCAACAAAGGCAGGAATGATGCATCTGACTTCATGTTCTCAGAAGGCTAATTTATTGCTTTATTATACTATATTATATTAATGAATACTATACTACACTATACTAAAGAATACAGAAAAGATACTTACACAATGCTAAAAAGATAATAATGAAAACTCATTATTCTTTCCAGAGTCCCAACACAGCTTGGCCCCAACTGGCCCATGAGTCAAAACAACTCACACCTGAATCCAATCAGGCAATCACCTTTGGGTAAACAATCTCCAAACACATTCCACACATGAGCACAACACAGGAGAAGCAAATGAGGTAAGAATTGTTTTCCTTTTCTCTGAGGCCTCTCAGCTTCCCAGGAGAAAAATCCTGGGTGAAGGAATTTTTCAGGGAATGTGAATGCCACAAATAAATACTTTCAAATCTGATGTCCCCCTCTGCTATGTCCTTTCAAAGTGCTTCCTTCCTGGTCCAGACATTTGCTGAAGATTACTGGGACACAGTCTGTTTCCAACCTCAAAGGCTGAGGCTTTACATCCACTTCTGGCTCAATGTGGGACCCCTGTTCTTAGGATTTTCCGACCCTTCTTCCTAGTACCGTGCTATTTTCTTACTTTTTTATTCCCTTAGTGCCTCTGGCCACAGTCATCCAGAATTCCTTCCCAGTTCCTGACCCCAGGCACTCTGAAAGAAGTTATAACACTCCTTCTTCACCCCCCCAAAACTTTAGAAAAACAGAATGGTTGCAAGATAGTGACGAAATCAGAGAGGACATGAAGGCTCTGCAGAATTGGACACTGTCGGGCACTGGATGTTATAGCAAAATGTAAGAAGCCCCATTTGACAGTACTAGAACAGTGTTCTCCAAAAATTCTTCAATATACACCCCTATCAGTGAAGTATTTTTAAACACATACACCCAGTGTATGTACACTTAGTAGGTGATAATTAGATATGTGTAACATTAACGTTCTAATGTTTCCACCTCACACTTCAGTGCATCATCTTGCACCCCACTTTGAAGACTTCTGCACAGGAACATCATAAGCCAGCAGCCTGTCACTGAATATAGATTTCAGAGGCAGAGTCTAGAAGATGCACAGCCCTTCACCAAACACTCTCCTGATCCCCAGCAACTGAGGAGTTGATGTTCCAAGTCCTAGGGGTGCCTGTCCAGGAGCACTTCACTAGCAGAAGATACATAGGAAGAGAGGAGCAATTGCTCCTCCACCACAAAGCTCTGTGAGATCACACAATCACAGAATATTCTGAGGTGGGAGGGACCCACAAGGATCAATTCCAGTTCATGAGTGAATGGCTCATACAGGGACCAAAGCCATAATTGGGATGTAAAACGACTAAGCTCAGAAACTTCATGTTTTATGCTCATGGGAAGCTTTACCTCTGTCAGCCCATAGTCTCAACAGGTTTCTCTTTCCCAGGATCTTGCATCAGCCTAGACAAATATATTTGCTTTATCGAGTCCTGTGATGACACAGCTGACCAAAATACTTGAACTAGGAACATGGAGTTCCAGAAAAACAGCTGCCATTGCTTGTCCATTGACAATATCTAACACAGCTGCTCTTCAGTCACCATCCCTCCCCCTTCCTGTGCCCCCAGGAGCCACCAGCTTTCTACTGCAGCATTACTGCATGAAATGAGAAACTTGTTTGCAACAATGGATGTACACCCTTGAGTGTATTCTTTGAAGGATACTATAAAAAAACCTTTCAATGGGTCTGTGAGATGTTCAGGACCACTGAGAAGAAGGAGTTATTTGTGTTTCAGACAGGGATTTCTTGTCCTAAAAAAAGAAAGAAAGGAGGGTCATCAGAGGGTGTTCTAATTTCAGCTGTAATTCAAAGGGGTCTGTTCATCCTCCACAGTTCTCATTGAAAGACCTGAAAGGTTGCTCTGAGACTGCTTGCTGGATGACCTCTGAATCATGCGTCAGAAATGCCATTTGCCTTCCTTTGACATCAGTTTGCCCCATGAGCAGAACACTATGGAGTTCTGGGCTTTATGGGAGCCTCTAGAAGGAGTGTCAGAGAGGCTGTTAGGAGAATGAGAGGGGCTTGGGTGAGGTATGTTCACTAGATACCTGCCATCAAAGACTTAGAAACACAAGAGCCACAGGAGCTATGATCCAGACCTTTGGCTGTGAGCTTTAGCAGTAGCCTAGGAACAGGTCAGGAGTCTCCTCTTGCTGATTTAAGCAAGTAGTTTACGGAACCAGAGAGATCATGTTTTGTGGCAGTTCAAATTAATTTTACTGATTCTTTGTTACGTGGTTTGTTCTGTGGTACCCCCATGCTCTCCCTGAGTTGGTTGACCCCTGGGTTTTACCCTCTCTCAAAGCTGTCCTTCATACCATACTCCACCTATTGTTCCAGCTCTTTCCCTGCCTGTCAAGGCATCCCAGCCCCTTTTGTTCCTGAACCTTCTCTGCCACCATAACGTGGGGCTAATCCCCGACTGCAACACCTTTTGGAATTCCACTACTCCTGGAAGCGCCATTGGCCATGTGACCCACTCTCTCCACCCTCCTACCCCAATTGGCCCCAGACACTTGATGTAATGCCCTCACTCCTCCCTGAGGATTCCCTATTGGTTAGCTGTTTGTATCCACCCCCTGAGATGTATCTGTATAAAATCCCTTGCACGGGAGTGCCCCAGCCTCTTTGTTTCTGGTCTCTTTACTTGCAATAAACTTTTTCTTGTACAACCTCAAGACAGAGAACCTCCTCCTTTCTCTTCTGCCCAGTCCCTGTCATGGCTTGTGTCTGGCACCGTAGAGCAAGTGGATCTAAAGGTTCTGCCTCTGGTAAATCCCTATCCTGAGGCAGTTCCCCACTCCTGGCATGGTGCCAGAATTATATGAGCTAGCCGGGGCTCTGGTAGCCATGGCAATGTTCTTATGAGGGATTATCAGCCAGCCCTATACGATGGACTTCTTCATGCTGCTAAGAATAATTTATATGTTAAAGATGTGATAGGATTAAATAATAAGTAACAGAGGAAATAATAAATAAATAAGTAACAGAGGAAAACAATAAAAAGTACTAAGATAAAGGCAGGCATGGGCAAGCTTCCTGATTCAAATGCTTACTTGGTAATTCACGTAAAATTTGTGTGGATATTAAACCAAATGAAAAACCCCAAGAAAGGAAGGAAAGGGAAGCAGTTGTAGCCTAAGTGTTACCTTACAGGATATGAAAGCTATAGATCAGGAAAAATATTGTTCTAAAACACGTGTCTGCTTCTATGCTAATGACACATTCCGGACAAAGAAAACAGAAATCCACAGATCAAATGAAACCCTAGAGTAAACTGGAAATTTTTCTTGCTCCACTTAGTTATGATGAGATTGGATAGCTTTGGTAGTTTTTGACCCTCTTAGTCCTTAGAACAGTTTCCTTTCCCACAGGAAGCTTCTAATCCTTCTTTCTTTCACAGGATACAGCATGCTTGTAAGAAAGCTGTGCAGTAATACCAGTTTAAAGGCCAACACAATTCATGCACCACCTTAGAGAAGGCCCTGGCCTTGGACTTGTACTTCAACATGAAGGAAAATTTCCCTCTGGACAGTGACACTGTGCGTATCAGTCCTCCAGGGTCTACAAAATTTCAATCAAAAAATGTAGAGGAAGAGTATTCTGATTTAGTGTCTCAAGCTATTCCAGCATTTCCAAACATACGGCTTCTCTTTAATATCTCTGGAGGGAATCCTGTGTTTTTCAGGAGCTAACATGATGAAGTTGGCAGCTGCTTGGAGAATGAACATGATTATTCAGCAAAACATTAAGCTTTAGGAAACTTTGCATCATGACAGAAATCCCCACTCCTGCAGATTTAAGAAGATCTCATTATTTTTGTTTGCAGCATTATTGTACATCTACATTACACTCATAAACATCAGCATTGTATTGAAATTCTTGTGTAGCAAAAATGAGTCTGTAGAACATTCCAAAGATGAATAAAAGCATGGTTTGGTACTTAGGCAGACATTTAAATACATTTTAGGGGAGAGAAATTAGAAAAGGGAGATGGTGAGCATTCCCATATTTGAACTATTTGACTTGGGAAACGGTTGGGGCACAGGATCATTTTTCTATCCTCCCTTTTGAAATGACAATGGAGGAATTTGATTTAGGAAATCACTGTATTGCATATGGTAAAAACACACATTATTCAAGAAAAGGAATTTGCTAAAATAAACTGAACAAAGTTAGCCACTGGGTTTGCTGGAATTTTTTGCTTTTGTTTCCCAAATAAATGCAATGTATCTTTGTGTCTACTATCTAAAATATGCAACTTCAGGTAAAAACATGCATTTTTAAGAAAGATACCATCAGCACAGAGGAATCTGAAAGAGGTTTGAGAGTTGTTATTCCTGTTGTACAGGTGCTGTGTATAAGAATGAGACAGACAAACAACTACACGTCTTCCAAAGTCAAAAGGTATTTTTAGATTGAAGGGTACCTTACAGAATAATTAGAATAGCTCTCTATCTTAGCAGAGGTTTATGATTAACGTGTATGACATTTGTACATTCTACCAATGCCTGTTAATGCCCACATTTGGATCTTCAAATTTTCCACTGTGTACTTTTTGTCTGGAGAAAACCTTGGACTAGAGATAAGACCATCACCAAAAACGTATTTCTAGCAGCTCCCACATCCAGTCAGCCAGTCTGGGTTTGAGGTCGAATCGAGACCATGAAGTGCCTGCTGCTTCTCGCCTTTATTGGGGTGGCTGGTGAGTATATCTTTTCTTTCTATTTCTGCCATTTAATAGGAAGCTGATTTTCTAAATCAAAGCTGCAAGGTAGCCTGTTGTGGGAAAGCCAAGTCCAGTTTTGACTTGCACAAGTCAGAGCCCTGCAGCTTCCATCTTCTGTCTGCTCATAATGCCTTGTGCCACAAGCTGGGGAATGAACACCTTCATAGGGGTTCCCGACCCAGAGATGGAGATGTGGCCACAGCTTCAGAAAAAAGCTGCCTCCTCCTTCGGGACTAAGGAGAGCACAGGGAATAGCTGTGGACCAGGAAGTCCTAAAGCAACTGCAAAATTTTGGACCCTCAGTCGGTGCTCCAAGAAGATCTCACTGCGCAGTAGTTTTTACTTTTTCCCTCAGTCAACCCTTGACTGTTTCAGTAGATGGGATTCAGGGAAAGACACACCCGTGATCTGATCCAACAAGAATATTTCAGTGTCCCTATGTTCTCAGGGAGTAGCCAGCAGGGCTTTAGTTGCAGATACGTGAGGCACCCGTGTAAGTCTGATCCCCTTCTTTGAGGTGCAGCAAATGCATGTGCCTTAGACCTGCCCAGCAGTGCTGCCCTGAGTGTCCATAGAAGGGGAGCCTACAAGTGAGGGGCTTCAGACAGGCAGCCACAGGGCAGATTACAGGCCACATTACCTTAGGCCAGCTGTTGACACATGGCACTTCTTGTCCCGCAGTTGCCTTCCCCACCTTTGCTGAAGACGATGATGACAAGATTGTGGGAGGCTACACCTGCGCAAAGAACTCTGTGCCCTATCAGGTGTCCCTGAATTCTGGATATCACTTCTGTGGAGGTTCCCTCATCAGCAGCCAGTGGGTCCTGTCGGCTGCTCACTGCTACAAATCGTGAGTGGAAAAATTACATCCTTCTATATCCTACTTCTGTCTTCCAGTTCCCTTCTAGCAGGAATTCTGAGCTATGAGATAGCAATACGTAAGTGCCTCCATTCTCACCGGAGACAGCCAAGGGATGGGTGGATCATTCAGGAAGCCAGGCTGAGGCATCCTGAGGGGTTTTCCACTTCTGCAAACGTTCCTGTGAATGCAGAGCGTTTTCTGAAATAACAATGGGATAATCGAGCAGAGAGGTCTAGGCTTTGATTCCTTATCAATTGCATGAATCTTGCTAAAGCATTCTCGCTGGAGAACAGGAAGAGGATCGAGGTCCGGCTGGAGCCGTTTGCCTTGTCCCAGAATATTTGTATCTAGTGCTGCTCTGTATTCAACTGCTGCCATGTATTTACAGACCCACAGAAATTCACCACCCATGCATGGAGTGGGTTAAGATCTCAGTGTGGATTCCCAGGGCTCCCTGCAGGACAGGAAAGATCCCCTGCCCCAGAAGGCTTCTGTGGCAGTGGTGTTGGAGCGAGTGCACTCAGTGCCAGGGAGGTTTCTCTCAACCTGCCCCCAGCAGTAAAGGACACGCTGTGCCTTCTGTTTTCCAGTCGCATCCAAGTGCAGCTCGGGAAACACAACCTGGAGCTCACCGAATCCACACAGCAGTTTATCAACTCTGCTAAAGTCATCCGCCACTCTGGCTTCAGCTCCTACACCCTGGACAATGACATCATGCTCATCAAGCTGGCCACCCCAGCCACTCTCAGCAATGCTGTCCAAACCGTTCCTCTGCCTACCAGCTGCGTGGCCGCCGGCACCACCTGCCTGATCTCCGGCTGGGGCAACACTCTCAGCAGTGGCAGTGAGTACTCTGGGGGAGCCTACAGACCCTCGGGGGCCCAGGACAGTCTCTAGGACCTGGCCATTAACCCCCAACAGGACAGGCTAAAACACAGGGATGTGCTGTGGGACAGCTTTTTGGAGTGATGTGTCAATGTAGGGACTGCACAGTTAATGTCAACAGAGTTGTCAATTCTCTGAGAGTAAGGGTGAAGTCTGGGACTGTGCAACTTGAATTCCTACCAGAGATCTCTGTTCTCTCACGCCGATGGTCAGAGATGTGCATGGCCAGTGGTGCCTATTCCATTGGACCTGCACCAGAGGAGAGGATGGTTTTCCTGAGGCTCAGGTTTCCTCCAGTGTACGTATCACAAGAGTGGCCCCTCCCTTGCCAACTGATGAACTTCCAGGTACCAGAAAAGTTAAGGTGGCTGCAGTGTAGAATGGTGGGCCCATGGGTAGAATTTGTTCCATCTCTACAGAAGGGACCCATGCTGTGCTTACTGTGGACAGGAAGCAGGATGGCTGCTAGAACAGGGCGTCCAGCATTTGCTTTTCTGCTAAGATCTTCCCCGAGCTCTGAAAAGGACTCAGCAATGCCAGCAAGCATCTCTCCCTATTTCTTTGCAGCTAACTACCCGGACCAGCTGCAGTGCCTGAAGGCTCCGGTCCTCACCGCCGAGCAGTGCTCTGATGCCTACCCTGGGCAAATTACCAAGAACATGATGTGTGTCGGATACGTGGAGGGAGGAAAAGACTCCTGCCAGGTAACTCATCTGCCTTTCCTCTCCCAGGCATTTCTCTCCCACCTTTTCCCAGCTGAAGAGGCCTTCACATTACAGAGTCAGCTATACTCACTGTACTGGTAAATCTGAGTTTCTGAATGACAGCAGAGGCTTCAGGCACACATATCCTGAAGGTTTGCCAATGCTGCATCCGGCAAAAGCAGGCAGCTGACTCATCCTTAGCTGTGGTGCACTTGGAGCTCAAGTCAGGCATGGTAGCATCAGGTGGAGAGTGTGAATCAGGAGCAGCCTTGGTAGAACTTTTGTGCAGAGTGCGCCCGGCAGGGCTTCCTCTGGGGTCAATGATCTCCGGGATCTCTGGCTCCTTGCTCAGGCTGATGCCATTTGCTGAATATCCATACCCTTTGTGTGCACAGGGAGATTCCGGCGGTCCCGTGGTCTGCAATGGACAGCTCCAGGGCATTGTCTCCTGGGGTTATGGATGTGCCCAGCGGGGCTATCCCGGAGTTTACACCAAGGTTTGCAACTACGTCTCCTGGATCCGGTCCACCATGGCCTCCAACTGAGACGCTTGTTTGGTGCAACCTGTATTTTCTCATCATCATTTCTGTGCTTTTGGGTCTGGACAAGCAAAAATTATGAGAAATTAATAAAGACTTTCAGGCACCCCTATTTTGTGCACTCTTTTTCTGGAAACTTCCAAAGGCTCTTATATGGAGCACAGTGGCAGTGAACATCAGTCAGGAGAAAATACTTATTATTTGTAGTGCCTGTCAATTGACAGGGTCTTGGAACACCTTGCAGACTCATCATCAAGATTCTTTCAGTCAGTTACATGCTCTTGTTTCTGAAGGAGAACATCATTTTTGTTCTTTTTGAACAGGAAAAGTAATAGCCAATATTTCAACAGTTCTTGAAGTGATTCTGAAATTCATCCTCAAACATAGCCTGTCCCCCTTTCTCTTGGAACACTAGCAGCTGCAGCATGTCATCCTTTCTTTGGGCCTGCTTATATCACCGCCTGAGCAATGGAAGAGGGATGAGGGTGTTGAGGGCCAGGATATCAACAGAAGGCAGGTCATTGCAGTAGAGTATTTGGATCTGCCATGTTAAAGAGTTGGTCCTTGCCAGGAGGCTGATTGGGATGTACTCTTTTGTGCTTGCAGAGTCCCAGAACCAGGCTGTGGTGTCCCAAATCCCTTGATGAAAAGGTCAGGAGAGAGGAAGGAGGGAAGTGAGGAAGGAAGGCAGAAAAGCTGCAGGAAGACAGGACTTAGGGCTGGGAGGGAAGCAGGAAGGCGAGCCAGAAAGGGAGAAAGGCAACAAAAAAAGCAGGAGAGAAGGAAGGAAGATAAAAAGGCAAAAATGAATTAAAGAATGAACACTAAAAGGAAGACAGGAAATGAAAGAAGCAGGAGGGCAGGAAGAAAGGCTCAGGGAGTGTTGGTAGCCATGAGTACCTGCTGCTGCCTGGGACTCTTTGCCTACAGTACCGGGATACTGTGAGGATTGGATTGCATCATAAACAATGCAGTGCTCAGGCCACAGAGTAGTGGTGTAACATGGGGTCCCAGCTGCACAGCTGTGTGCCCATTCCCCTTCAGACCAGTAGGGCCAACGATCAGAGGGCCATCTATTTCCAGATTGTGGAGAAAGAAAGGCCTGTATGAACTATTCCACATCCTGGTTCTCAAACCATAAGTTGACATACCAGACAGATTTAAAGGAGAGATGGATGGGGAATTGAATAGGGAATAGGAAAAGAATAGGTGTAACAGGACAAAAAGGATAGGACAGGGAGATATAGAAGGAGGAAAGTGAGAAGCAGTCTGAGAATGGCAAAGAAATAAGTGGAGGCAGTGAGGATGAGAAGAAACCAGAGTCAGAAGGTGATTCAGAGATGGGAAAGAACAGAAAAGCAGATATAGAGCATGCTAAAGACAGACAGATGGCCAACAGACATACACCGTCTTTACTGAAGACCTGGGGGACAAATCAGAAAACAGGGCTCTGTCAAACACAGAGCTCAGTGTGTGCTGGAGGCAGATCCCTGTTTGCCTGGAAAGGTTTGTGCTGTGCTGCACCACCCTTTGAGTCACTGTGGATCTCTTTCAGCACAGAAATATGTGCCTGTGTCATTGAGCAGGGCATGCTGGATCTTCACAGATAAATGGTTGTTCCTACTCCCATCACTCTGGAAGCGATTTTGGAATTCCTTCTCAAAATCTGCTTTACGGCCTTCCACTGAATTTACAACCAGCTGCATTCTGGCATCCTTCTCCATGGGTAACTTGTACCAGAACATGGTCTTGACTGTGCTCCCCTGTCCAGAACATTCCAGAGTGACGGTGTCTCCCACCCGGACAACTGAATCTGGTGATTGCTGAAGGGCCCAGCCTGGAGAGACAGGAGATGAAAGGTGGGAAGTGACATGCATTGAAGAAGACAAAAATACACATCCTTGAAGTATGCCATGAGATGGAATGGCCCCAGGATATCAGAAAGCAATGGGACAGTGCCCAGCTTCTCTGAAGAAGACACATGGGATCAAAAATCCCCAAACAAACCAACTTCAAATGCAACAGTAAATCTGGTTTGAGAAATAATGACTTTGGTACATTCACGTGAAGTATTAAAATGGGGCAGGAAAAAAAAACCTTAAATCTTGCAGAGATTCCTGATTCAATAGGTGGTGGAAAGTCTCACCGGGTTCATTGCCCACTCCCACCCTGGAATCCTTGGGAAGAGGCAGTACCAGCAACTGGGAGCAGAGCTGAGGATGCAGCAGCAGCAGCTCCAGTGCATCTGCTCAGGAGGGAGGAATGCCCACTTACCCACAGGGAGCAGCATGGCCACAAGGAAGCGGTGGAAATGCATGGAGAAAGGCGCCCTCCTTCCAGGCACCTGCCCCTGGGGCCAGCACAGACACAGAGGTGTGGAAAGAGGAGGGTGGAGAGGAAGAGATGCGTCTCTCTGTGGGTGGGCAGGGCAGGGAGCGGGAGGCTGAAATGTCACCAAGGCTCTTGGCTGCCCAGGAACGGTGGGGAATGACACCTGCAGGCAGCCATGAGCTGCTTGTACTCTGCTCCTCTGGCTTCCTGCTGTGTGTGAGCGTGGCTGTGCAAGAGTAGGTGGCACTGCAGTAGGTGCCATAGTTCAGAGCCACCACGCAGCAGGATGGGGCTGTGAGGCAGCCTGAGTGTGTGCACAGGGATGCACAAAGTGGCAGAAATTGATGGGAAGACAAGGAGATCTCAGGAATGCACGGTTGTGTCTGTGTCCCGCTGTTTGTCTCCTCCCTAGGCTCCCTCACACTCACAGAGTCCCAGCCCTGCGAGCTGCCATGTGGAATCTCTGCTTCTCCCAGTCAGGCCTGACGTGTTGTCCAGGGATGGGAGAAGCTGCTGACCTGCAGAGCTGGTGTCTCTTGGAGCCTGGCAGAGAATAGTTCTGTAGCTGCTCTTCTCTAACTCCAGAGAGGGATCTCCAGGAGAGAACAGGCTGCCTGTGCTCCTGCACTGGGATTGTCCTTTGGGAGACACTTCACTTTGGAGACATTTCTGAGGAGAAGGGTGTGCCCCACAGGATGTGTGGATACACCCTGACCTTCTCCGTGCCAGAGAAGAACAGATATAATCCCTGCCTCTTGATTGCAGCACTCTGCAAAAGAGCACCAGGACACAAATGGACAAAGCTGGAGAAAACCATGTCCTGTCCTCTTCCCTGCACCCGGCCTTGCTCACCTGCCCAAGGCAGTGGGAAATCCCTGCAGGCAGGAAGAGACACTCGCAGTTTGTGTGCCCTGAGTTTGGGCACAGAGCTCTGGCACAGACTCTGCACATGCGTGCTGGGCTGTGTGCACTGCAGGGTGAGGCTGGCCCACACAGGCCATCAAGGGATCCGACTGCCCAGGGCTCTGAAGGGCTTTGCACTGAAGATGTTCCCCTGTGTGCTGTCAGCAGAGGAGAGCAGCAATGCCTGCAGCCCCTCCCAAATCCTCTGCTGCACGTCCGAGTGTGTCCCATTGCATTCATTCCCCCAAGCTGCCCCGAGAAGATTCTGGGACGGCCCCACATTCCTCTACAGAAGTTGCAGAAAAAAGCAAAGAGATGGGGCTGCTTTGTAGGAACCCCAGATCCTGCCAGCAGCAGCAGCACTGCAGCAGAGAGGAGCCTGATGTGCCTGATGTGTCCATGCAAAGGGTCTCCAGTTGCCTGGGGTGAGCAGAGGGCAGGGCAGTGCATGGGGAGCCTTGCAGGAGACACAGGATTTGAGGAGTCAGTGCTGTTGAACAGGCATGGCTGCTGTGTGGGGCCCTGTGTTTAGGTGCTGGGAAGCTTGGACATTAGCATGGGAATCTTCAGGGTGGGAACCACCTGGAGTGCCCTGAGCAGGCCTGTGCTGTGCACGGGTGTGTGTTATGCAGGACAGAATCATGGGATGGGCCAGACAAGAAGGGACCTCAGGGGGTCACTGCTCCAACCTCCCTGCTCCAGCAGACTCATCCCAGAGCACATGGCACACAGTTGTATCCATATGGGTCTGGGATATCTCCCAATAGAGTCCACAATTTCTTTGGGCAATCTGTTACAGTGCACAGTCTTCAACAGTGCAAACCTCTGACCTTAGATTCACATGGAATTTCCTGTGCATCATTTTCTGCCTTTTGCCTCTTGTCCTCGTGCTTGGCATCCCAGTGAAGAACCTGGATTCGCCTCTAGGAACTCTCCCGTTCAGATAGCTGTAGGCATTGATGAGGTGGCCACTTGGTTGTTTCTTCTGAAAGCAGAACAGGCCTAGCTCCCTCAGCCTTTGTGTGCAAAAGTGGTGCTCGACTCTACTAATCATCATTCTTCTTGTCTTCTGAACATTGTCCAAGAGCTCCGTGTCTCTTTTGTACCAAGGAGCCCAGAAATGGACAAAACACAGTAAATTTGCCTCACTAGGGCTCAGTGGAGTGGAGCCTCACCTGCCCTGCTGGCAATGCTCTTCCTCGTGCATCCCAGGACAGCTCTGGCTTCTTGTACAGCACGACACACTGCTGGCTCATGGACAGCTTCTTGTCCACCAGGAGCCCCAGGTCCTTCTCTGAGGAGCTGCTCTCCAGCTGTTTTGCCCGCAGCCTGCGCTGGTACACGGGGTTATTTTTCCACTCACGTAAAATCCTGCATTTGCCTTTGCTGAATTTAAGGATGTTCCTCTCTGCCCATCCCTCCAACTTGTCAAGGCCCATCTGAAGAGCTGCACAGCCCTGCGGGCTATCAGGACTGCCTCCTAATTTGGTGCGACCAGTGAAGTTCATGAGGAAACTCTCTATGCCATCACCAGTATCACTGATGAACAGAACACTGTAACCTCTTAGAAATCTCAATTAGCTGTACAGCTTCTGACCACACCTTGTAACTTTAGAATGTTTTTGGTAAAGCTGAACTGTATTATGTGGATCATGAGCTGGAAGGCAGGTGGATCCTGCCCCAGACACCACTCTGCATGGAGGACTTAGGCATCCACTGAACACCTTACCAGAGTAAGCACAGGCTTGTGCTCTGCTGTTCCTATTCCTTGGCCACAGAACAACCCCAGACAAGGCGTTGGAGCAGAGGAGCATGTGGGCAGCTGCC